TGGTTATAGTCAGATTATGCGTAGTATAATATTGTCTGCCTTTTTATAGTTTCAGTAACTAAGACAATCTGAATATACGAATAACTTATATCCGTTTATCATTCCTACATTCCTCTATCAATGCAAAGGCATAGCGAATGCATTATTTATTCGTCGTTATTTATCCTTAATTTCATGGATATTGATGCAGCCGTGTGCGGGAAGCAAATAACAATAAATTATACGATTGAGTAACAACTCTGTTTCGTAAGTCCATAAATATATGCATACAAGCCTTCGGGAATGTTGAATATGCGACAGGGGAGTGTCATTAGACGATTTTGCGAACAGACGTTATAAATTGCATTATGAATCGCATTGTAAAGCGTCACACAATCATGTTACGTTTATTTGCTATAGAGTTAATATCGAAGACGAAACATGTCGGAAACTGACGATGTCAGGAAGTATCGAGAGTACATCGACTTATCTATCGTGGCATCACAAGCATTCCTAAATGCGAAGCAATTCGATGATAACTCTCTTCCTTCGCGATCATCTTTTGCTCGTACATTGAGAGGATTTTTCTCCTTCATGAGGCTTTGTATGCTGTTGTGCAGCGCGTGTGTTTCTGAACCAACATTAGATCATCACAGCATAGAGAACCGTGTACAGGGTGTATCGATGCTATTTCGATAATCGTGACCGATCTTCTACAACAATTGGAGCGGCTTACTATAACTCCATCGCGTAGTTTTCAATTGACGTTCAATTGATCGTTACGCAAGAATTTAGAGTCTAGATTCTAAAGAGATATAATCTTTAAAATATTTGAAGCAGAATCTAATTTTAAAGAGTGAGAAAAGTGACAATTGAATCAGTGTTGTCAATTTCTAAGAATGAGATTTCACTTTTTAATATTATATTCCACTTCACAGATTTTAGAGACTATGGAAAGAAAAATTTAAACGTCTTATATAGTCTTGTGTTTCATGACTGATTAATGACACGGATGGAAAACGAATCATATATCCGCGATATTAGATTCCATTCTATCTTGCAGTTTTACGTTCCGTCAGACATGCACACGTCGCATTTTATGCTTAAAATGGAGCCATGGCGAATAAAGGGATCTATTACTTCAACCTTCAACTAGTATCCTCTTTTTCAAGTAACGTGACCGGTGTCATGGGGTCAGCATTGACCCCTGGCCTAGGGATCAGGCACTTTTACCGTGTCGTTCGCCATAGCATCCGATGACCCCTGTGTATCAAATAGCGTGGTAAATACGGTGTCTCGGTTCATTGTAAGTTGTTGAAGGTATACATAATCATTGTTACTAATAAAAAAAAAAGTTGCTTTTTGTGTTGTCGTTTATATATAATTATATTTTGAGCCATATATTTTAATGTTATTAAGACGTGTGTTGTATATTTTATTTTTATAATATTCTAACCAATGTGATTTACTGAATAACTTCTTTTATAATTATGCCATAGTAATTGTTATTCCAAAACATATATAATTTTAGTACACACACAACATCCAGCTACTCAAACTATTGTATAATAAATAAAAAGCAAGCAAGCGTTAATTTTTATAACTAAATCTCTTTCATCTAGTATATCTATAATATTTTTAAAAAATAGTTTGAAAAATAGATATTTTTTCTTTAAAAGACAATAATGTTTTTCAATCGAAAAAAATTTCTATACGTTCAGTTAAAAGAATGTCTATATATGATTATTCACGAAATAAAAATAAAATGTAATAAATAAATAAAAGTACAAAAACGTATTGTGACTTCGAGATCGAAGAATCGGATCGAAGAGTAGCTGGTGTGAGGTCGTACCGGGACACCCGGTATGCCCCGGTACATGGAGCTTGGACCCACGGAGCGAACGGGCAACTTCGGAGCGTCTGACCTCTGACCCAGGAGTTCTCTCCTCGTCCTCCTCTTCACGGATCGCGTTCCTCCACCCCTCCATCCTTCTCTTCCCTTACCATGCCGCGCGGTGCATACTCCGTTTTATACTTGCGCTTTAAGCGCCGTGGCCTCTTTTAAATAGCGGGCCTCTGCCGGGGCTATCCACGACGTCGTCGAGCGTTACGGATTCCCTTGGTCCTCGGGACGAGACAATAATAACGATAACGATCGCCCGCGCGCACAACTCAACGAAAAAATTACACCGAATCGTATAATAAGGATGTGAAAGGCGATCGGCATTGACTTGAATCATGACGATTTCGTTTCATCTTCGATCTGTCATCTTTTTCTTTCTTGTTTCGAATTGTTATAATAAATCATTCTTTACGAAACTCACCATTCAAGGAATAAACGATTCAGGAACAATTCTCTATTATTATTTTGATGACAAGAAAATTGGATCTGATTGTACTCACAGTTCCAAATTATTTGAAAAGTACAGATGTATATATATATATATATAATACTTTTAAAATTAGATAAATAAAAATTTCAAAAACAGGATTGTAAATCAAAAAAAAAAGATATAAAAAATAATCATGTTGATTATTTTTGCAAATCAATGTCGATTGTTTTTTGTATCCTTCGATTCGAGGCGATATTTTGATTGCACGATTCGTTGTTAATATTCAATGTCAAAAATATATTTTTTTTATATAATGTTCTATACGTAAATATACAGATTTATAGCATTTTATTTTACCGTGCACGTTTAAGTTTTTATAAATATTTACGATTAAAATTATTGCTCTTAGCGAATTTAGAAATTCGAATTTGAAATATCCTGAATATAAAGTTGCAGATTAATTAGGAATGGAGCGCCACAATATATTTCTCTTGTTGTTGTTGTTACGTTGACGAGCCAATTTAAATCACGAGTCAATATTTATATGCTTATAGAGAGAATCGGATACTTTCTTCAACCTTTTCTCGATCTTTCCTGATCAGTCTTCACTAATACTTTTCAATGAAACAGTGTTATATTATATCTAGCGATATTTTGTGATATATAAAGCAAAGATACATCATGTCAAAACGTTCCTGGGAGAGCCAATATTACATAGTAGAAAATAATACTAAAAAATGCAATATTTGTGAATACGTCTTTTATAAAAACGAGCCAATAACATCTTTACAACAGCATATAATCTCTTGTCATCCAGAAGTACAAAATATAACACAAGAGAGAGCACAAAAGACAGAAAGGTGAACAAAATCAGACATTATTATACAATATATTTATCAACTATTTTGTATAAGTATTTTTTATAAGTATTATAAATGTCTAAGTCGATCTTTCATACAGAGCTGATTATATCAAAATTCGATAATTTATTAAATTTTTCTATTATTGAAATAATCAATTTGTGTGAAAATATCTGTAATGATGTAATAAAGGATATTTTCTTGATACTCGAAAAAACTCAGATATGAGATGCGCTTAGATATCCAAATCGAATAGTAAGAGATCTAATTAAAATTCATTAGATCGGAAAAAATTAATTTTCAGATATAAATATAGTGAAATACAGTGATACGTTTCGTACAGGCTACGTCCACACGGATACGATAGTCCCATTGAACGGATCAATTTTATTTTTCAATATTTCATATCGCGGCCATCCAGTCGCAGGGAGTAGACACCGCGAAAAAAAAGTTAGCGCAAACCAATCAGCATATCGATATCAAATTTTAATCTCGCACCCTGTGTATCCGGATAGGATATCGACGTTACGGTCTGATCGCGAAACTACCCATTTCACGGACTGAACAAATTTTTTATCATCTCGTGAACCGATCTCTTTCCTTATCCATTTCAGGACAGAGATCCGTTCAGAAAATAGGCGATCAAACTGCCCAGTCCAATAAAGAATTTGTCAGTTGATACAATAATTCCTATCAGGAAATGTTTTTCACAATTGTTATACACATAAATATGATTATATTATAGAAAAAGAAAAAATAATTAGAAGTCATCTATTCTTTCTATTTACTTCTCCCCCATACCTGACCAATTGCAAAGATTTAGGTATTTGTACCTCTTAACGTTGTGCTCGTAGAATACGCAGGAGATGATCGATCGTAAACTAGATCGGAAGGTTCGGTTCATGAAGTTGACTTCGCGAAATGATTGGTTTCGTGAACGGGACGTAGTGCCGATAGCAAATTAACTCCCGCTCGATTTGCGCATCGAGCGGGAATCCGGCTTACGTGTTGCGTGCGGATCCGCGCACGGAGGTCTGCCTTCGCGAAGTTTCTTGGAAAATTGTCGCGAATTAAATGCCATTAAATTTACGATTTGCGCGCCGGCGATTACGCAGCTCGCCGTCGAAGTAAAGGGAGACGTGCCTGGCCGTTACTCACGGCGGTTACCCTCTGGTAGCATAATAACAGGGGAGGCCTCAAATTGTGGTCTCGCCCCAATATCCTCCCCCATCTAGGTGGACTACTCGAGAAATTTATCGGACGAATCGATCATGGCGCCAACGACGTCCGTAACCGAGTTAATTTAGGTAGCTTTATGTGAAGCACGATGGTAAATTAATGGTAAATTAATGAAAACCTTAAGGCGCTTGCTAATGAATATAGACACGATCGAAATTTATTTCTTCACATGAAGTTTAACAAACAATGTCAATATTATTTATAAAAAAAAACTTAATAATTATTTATTTATCGTGGATTAATAATTATTTTAACTGAAACGATATCATATTAATTACATACGTTTCATAACCGAGTTAAATCCAAGTATATAGTATAGTAGTATTTCACATGCTGAAGCGGGCCCATGATTGTATATATAAACGCAAGAAACGCAATTCAACAAATTGAATACCGTATCGCGAACGTTATTTCACGCTATTTTCTGCGACTCAAAGTTCCTCTTGTGCAGGACGCGCAAGAAACTCCTGTCTACGGTTGTTCCGCGTTTCAACTTCGTTGTCCGCGCCGTTTTTAGTCGTAGTAGGAGAAACCGCACGTTGGTTCTTTGAACTATGCAATTACCTCGGTTTTGTCTTGCGACTTACTGCAGGGAGAATCATTGCGAGATCGAGCGACGGCGGCGGAACAAGATGACCGCCTACATCACGGAGCTCTCCGACATGGTGCCGACCTGTTCAGCCCTGGCCCGGAAGCCCGATAAACTCACGATCCTCAGGATGGCAGTGGCGCACATGAAAGCTCTTAGAGGTGAGTAACTTTGATGCTACGAAATTTTATTTGCAACAATCACTTCTTTGCTTTTCTTCAATTATTTATCTGATAAAAAGACCTGAAATTAAGATTGTTCTTTTTTAAATTTTTTATTTTAATTTTATTTTAATTAACTAAATAGATCTTTAATTTATTAATTTATCATTGATAAATGCGCTATCTTTTTAGGGCTATTTTCAGAAATAGGTAAACTCTTGCAGAAGACTGCAAAATGTTTTTTTTGTTTGCATTAAACAGAAAATATAATTTTATATTTCTGGTTATGAGCCGGTGAGTTGTAAAAAATTCACGATTGGATCTCATCGCAGGTTGTGCATTACTGAATTAAATCAATAATTTATACTTTGATCGTAAAGATGTTTCAAATTTGAGGATTATTATGTTTGTATAAATTCGGATAATATGGAGTAGGTTTTTATAAAGTGATTTTTTAATTTTATTTAAATGGAATTTTTATTTGAGAACTGAATTACTAGGTTTAATACTGAAAATTGAAAAAAATTGTGAAAATAATTACTTTTAAATGATCGCCAAGAAACAAATACGCTAAAAGTACAGTGGCAAAATGTTAAAGTGCCGCTCCATTATTCGAAGTTCTCTGAGGGATTTTTCGTCGAGAAAAAAAATGGTGAACGCCAATAACTTACGAATCACTCGTAAAAGTCATAAGCCACTTGAATTTAACTTACATCTCGAGTCCTGAAAACTCGCACGTGTCGCAAAGTCAGTAAATACTGGAGAATTTTTCTTTCAGTAGAATATACATTTTTTTAAATTCAGCATACCGACGCATTAGATTTGCTTCCGAAAGATAATGAGGATATAACTTCTCATGAATGTGTACATATACTTATTCTCAGTTCTATATTTTATTTACTCATTCTTATTTACTCATTCTGTTTTTCTTTCTACATTTTATTCGCTGTAATTTCATTCCAACTTAATTTAAATTTATCTGTAAATGAGAGAGAACAAATTTCTTTCTCCCCCCTCCTCTCTCTCTCTCTCTCTCTCTCTCTCTCTCTCTCTCTCTCTCTCTCTATCCTCTTCAGTCATCGATAAGAAACGGTGCAGTTTTCAACGCGGGACGTGACGATTAAGTTGCAACGATGTTTAAGTTATCCGGCACGAGCGACGCAATAACTTGGGCGCAACGCGAGTTGCGGTGCCTTAACATGAAGCCGATTAAATTACGACCGTAGTCGACCCGCCGTACGTTACGTTACGTACCTACGACTATCGATTACGCAGGGAAACACTCACTCGAGTCCTTCCCGGGTCGACGCGCGAGAACACGGATCTCTGCCTCGACAGAGGCGAGAATTTACGACCGCTTTTAGAATACTTACACTGTCGACAGTGTAAATATCTGCAACTTCCTTGTTAAATCGAAGATGAAAAGGCCAATAATGTTTCGCTTAAGTTTACGTCGAAACTTCAGGTGGATACATCAGACACGTGTATCTTTAATTCATTAAAGGCCGGTTGTTCCACCTTTTGATAAATTTTACCTGTTGGGTAAGTAGCAAGATTATCCAATCTTAAATCATGCGTGGATTGCCAGATTTATCTAATAAGTGAAATTTACCAAAAGATAAAACAACCGGCTAAATGTTACAATTATAATACATGAAAATTTTAATGTTAGTGATCGCATTATTATCTCCTAGAAAGCCTCGAATGTTGAAATGATTAAATAGATAATTCTGATTGATTTTATGTTTGAAAAACCGTGCAAAGAGTTTACAGAGAATATTTTTTGGTAAAATCATTTTATATAAAATTCTTATTTAAAAAAATCGAAATGGTTTTCGATGTCAAAAGAGAGCAAATAATTTTGCAATTTTGCTGAAAATTTTGATAATAAATTTGTTTGATAATTTTTGTTCGATTATTTCACGCGAAATTTTTTTTGTTTTAAAAGATCAAAATCGGTTTCGTCAGAAAGAGAGGAAATAATTTTGCAATTTTACTGAAGATTTCGAAAATAAGTTTGTTTATGAAATTTCATCTATAAATTCCATAAAAATTTTATTATTAGAATAGAAAAAGTCAACTGTATATATAACAGATGATGATAAAACTTGAAGATTCCACAGATATATAAATCCATAGGGATATCTATCTAACTGATTAACGTAGACATTTTCTGGAAAAGAAGGACAATGGAGGAAAAAGGACGAGGGATGCACCGTAACGTTGCGGCGGGTTTCGAGTGCCAGTGGCGGTCATATCGAATGCAGCGAGCGCGATATATGCTTCCGGTGGGCACGATGGGCGGAGTTGCGTGTCCCATACGTCGGCGGCTGTCCCTTTGGTAGTTCTGCCGGGTATCTATCTATCTACCTGAGCCCGAGGGAGCCTGCGGCCGATGGACGCGTGCTGCGTATTGTGCGTGAACGCGCGCGTGTATATGCGTGATTCCGCCGTGATTTCACCTAGGTATTGGTGGTGCGTCGCGTTGTTTATAGCCGCTTCTCCTCTTTCCCGACGACGTGGGCTGCTGCATACAAATCGCCCTCTCGCTCGGAAGAGAAGGAACTCTCTGTCTCTCTCTTCTCTCTCACCTGTGAAGAGAAAGGGCGGGTGGGGGAGAAGGAGGAGGAGGACGCTCGTTTACGCGCGCGAACGCCCCGTGCGTGCGCTATGTGGAAGAGCATTACGCGGTCGCAACGAGACGTATGTCAGTACCGAGCACCAGCGGATTTTTTTACGATCCTGGGACACCGGGGATAAAAACTGCCAGAAGGCTGAAGAACCGTTCGACGAACGTCGATAGAAAAGACGACGCCGTTCTGTCGCGAGAACGGTGAGGTCGGTTTTTTTTTTTCACGTTCACGGTATACTTAACACGATGTCATCTCGGAGGTACTTAAAATCGAAAAGAAATAATCAGCAATGTTAATTATGTTAAATATGTATTTTTTTCTAGTTTTTACTTAGATACTGTATCATATATCTATATCTATAAATATCGAAATTTAATGAGAAACATTTTAGTCGTTTGACATTAAATATTTATGTACTAGAAACTTACAGTATCGAATAATTGAATGTAATGAATAAATTGATAATATCTATAAATTGAAAATGTTCGTGACAAGAATCAATACCTCGACGATCACAGTTGTTGTTCAACGTAAAAGTATAATACGTAGAATGTCTAGAAATGGAAATTAAATGACTACCAGCATGAGATTGCATACTAAAAATGTGGCATACCATATGTCGAGTAGCACACATCGTCTTAAGCGAATTTTTTATTGGCCCAATTGAACTAGATTTTTTTTGTTGCGTAAATGTTTGTATTATTATACAGAAAAAGTTTCATGAATTTAAAATTCGGACTATGCGTTTGTGAATATTTATTTATATTTTATACATAAAATTAAGATCTGTATATAGTTTCATATATATATATTTTTAGAATTTATTATCAAACAGATAGCGATAATTTTGTTTGAATATATAATAATAATTGTGTGATTCTCACCTTTTTAATATATATTGAGGTTTGTCAAAAAATAATTGCAATCTTATAATCTTTTTGTCCGTAACAAACGTATATACGTGCATGTATAACGGTATTTAAGTCTCTTTTAAATTTCTTCTTTTTTCGTGAGCGAGTATTTAATCGTAAAGATCTGTTACTTGAAAATTTTGGTATCATCAATATGACGGAAACTGTATACAGATTCTCTTTGCGGAAGGTGTCGAGGTAATCGTGGTAACGTTGGACCGGCAGACATACACCACATGGAAAGTAATGGTAACGAAGGTCACCGAGGGTCTTCCATAGATCTTGTTTGGAAGTCGTTAAAGTACCTCTTCCCGGAATTTCTCCGTATATCGGGGTAAAGATCGCATCGCTGCGCGAGAGAGATGCGCTCTCTCTCTCTCTCTCTCTCTCTCTCTCTCTCTCTTTCTCTTGGGATCTGCCGTCCGCTTTGCAATTCCGATCTTGCACCTCGATAGTTACCTCCGCTGGCGAGGTGCTCCGTCCTCATTTTTGGTACCACACCGTAGCGCGCCGCAGTCTTCGCATCTCTTCGGAGGTCAACTTCGGAAGAAGCTATTGAGAGGCGATTTCAATATTCGATAGGACACGACTTGCTTAGGAATTTCCAGAGTGTTCTTCAAGGTTTAGATCATGCTTTAAAAGCAATCGTCTCTTCCTTGACGAATGTACTATTGAATTCTTTCTCTTGAACATTTCAACCGATAATTTTAAAAACGCATTCAGCTTTAACATGGGAGATCTGAATTTCCATATCCAAATAAAAAATTGTAGCGAACCGATCTTAATCCCTTAATATATATACATACCATGATTTTCTGATCTTTTATTACACATGATGGGTCAATCCTGAGCTAATTTCCATTATTTTTCAAGTATATAAAAATATATAATAAGTAATTCGTATACAATATATATTTTAATATCTTTAGATATTTATAAAATTGTGTATTTAAAAAAGGAGAAAAAACGGAATTTTATTGTTTAGTCAAATGTTCCTAGTATTTCAAAGAAAAGAAATATGCCTGCAGGATACAAATAATCCAATTGTGTGTACTAAGGATTATAATATTCAGATAAAATATATTTATATTCGAATGTATCCTTCGAATTCGCAGGCACCGGAAATACTTCCACGGACAACGCCTATAAACCGTCCTTCCTTACGGATCAAGAATTGAAGCACTTGATTCTCGAAGCGGCAGATGGCTTCCTGTTTGTTGTGAGCTGTGACTCGGGCAGAATCATCTACGTGTCCGATTCGGTAGCGCCGGTGTTGAACTATACACAGAGCGACTGGTTTGGCACTAGCCTGTACCAGCAAGTTCATCCTGACGATACCGAGAAAGTTCGGGAGCAGCTCAGCGCGGCGGAGCCACAGCATGGTGGTCGAGTGTTGGACCTCAAGACTGGAACGGTCAAGAAGGAAGGACAATGTAAATAAAGAAAAAGAACGAATCACTCGCGATTATTCGACAATTTTGCAAAGTTTTTACTTCATCGAGCCAATTTACTATTCAATTATTTTATTATCTTGTTACTTTATTATTGTTTCATTATTATCATATTAAATAATTTTATAGGTGTTTTGAAGATCGTTAATTATAACGATATATCAGGATATCCCCTTTTTCTGGGAAATATATTTAGTCAGAAAGAAATAATGGATTTTCCAATTGCAGCCTCGATGCGACTATGCATGGGCTCAAGAAGAGGCTTCATCTGTCGCATGAAGGTCGGGAACCTGCAAACCTCGGGTGACATGGCAGCGGCACACGGGCTACATCGTATGAAGCAAAGGAACTCTCTGGGACCGCCGGCGCGGGATGGCCAGAACTATGCGGTGGTGCACTGTACCGGATACATCAAGAATTGGCCACCCACCGGTGAGTTTAACACGGGTGTGCTGAGTCGAGAGAATCGCATAAGATTGTATGTCGATGTGCTACCCGGGTAACGGTCTCTCTCTTTCTTTCTCTCTTTTTCTCTTTCTCGAGCGCAACGTACAGCGGGCCCCAGCTTTCTATTTTAAAGCGGGGGAGACGTCGCGCTCAAGGAATACGAACGAACCGTTCCTGGAACACGACGGAACGCGTATACCACGTGTGTACTGTAAATTAAGAACTGAACCGTGACTGAATTTTTCGACTCGGTATTTTTCGTTAAACATTCCGCATTTAATTTAACGTGTCGTATTTGCTTTTGATCAGCTATGAAAAATTAGTAACGCAGAAACTGAAAAAATACAACGAATTTGCATATTCAAATGATAAATCTTTCCGATTTAAAGAAAAGAAAGAATATTATCAGATGCTTTTCTCATTGATTATATACGTTTTCTGATCTGAAATACTTGTCTCTTCAGAGTATTCGTTTCACCACTGAATGGAAAGTCACTATTAAAAGTCATGGCGAGGTAGTTAACGGCTGTTAACATATTTGTTTAATATTCATGATCACGTGCGTAGCTTTTTTGTTCCAGTAGCTTTGTGGCAGCCGCTGATTAATTCAATCTTATCGATTACGTTAAAAAAGAAAGATACAGCGATGTCTTTGGCGCACATTAAATGTGATAGAAGATTAAATGTAATAAATCGATCACTTTACAACTTTTTAGTTTCACTATAATTCACATTTTAGTTTCATTACAATTATAAATTATTATTGATTATTATTGCGACCACGTCAATGTATTGAGTATGAGATTTTTAACGTATAGCTTTTTAGTATGTAAGACGAATTTCTTAGAGCCGATCAACGGGAAATCATGAACTGATTCATGATTTTACGCTGTAGGTGATTTTGTTCCCCCATGTGTACCAAATGTGGGTCTAGGTGACAGAGGTCCCGGGGGCATTCAAACTGGTCCAGACGGTGTAGTTACGGATGAAAATGCCTCCACGCATTGCTGCCTTGTCGCCATTGGGCGATTACAGGTCACTAGCACACCAAATAGTAGCGACTTAGCAGGTTCTAATAGCAATAGCGGTAAGTATCATTTCATTAATAATTTAATTAGAAGTTTTGACTACTGCAAAGTTTGCACGTGCCAAGATAGATGCGATAGCCAATCGTTCTTTCGCTCTTATAGAAAAGCGATAAATTGATTGACGACCGTGTCATATCTTGTCTGTGCAGGAGCTACTTGACAATAAAAATTCACTTTATTCATGTAACAATGCAAAAGCTTATCGTTTTTATTATAAATTATGTTTCTGTTCGTTGTAGAATTTATATCACGTCATTCTGCAGAAGGTAAATTTACCTTCGTGGATCAAAGAGTTGGCGGAATTTTGGGTTATACTCCATCAGAACTTTTAGGTCATCCTTGCTACGAATTTTTCCATCCGGAAGATCTGACACATATGCGAGAGAGTTTTGAACAAGGTAATACTCCATATTATGCCTCACATATCTAAATGTATGTTTCTGTTTATATTAACCTGTAGCTCATTTTCTAGTATTGAAATTGAAAGGACAAGTCGTGTCTGTAATGTACAGATTTCGGGCTAAGAATCGTGATTGGGTGTGGTTGAGGACGTCAGCATTTGCGTTTTTAAATCCGTTCAACGAAGACATCGAATATATCGTCTGCACAAACACGCATGCAAAGTAAGAATGGAGTTACATTTAAAATCTCAAAGATGTCTTATATATTATATTTTTTATTTTTTTTTCTTTTACATGAAAAAAAAATATTCGCATGTCTTTATCCAGGTCGTTTCATCCTAGTAGCGACGGTCAAACGGAAAGCGAAGCTGTACCTGCATATGGACAACCTGGTCTGGACTATTCTCTTCAGAGACATCCTACCAGGGATCCGCTGTACTCCGCACATCACATGATGCAGCATCCAGCTGCTGTAGCCACAGCCAGTAAGACAATTATCGCATGTTCTCTATTTTTTATGTTCTATTATTTTTTGCATGTCAAACGTCAAACATTGAATGCATATTATTTACAGGTCCGCAACAACCAAGGCCGTCCAGCACACAGAACGTATATCAGAGCTATGAGACGACGCAATCGCCGATAGCTTATGGATCACCTGGACAACAAAGTGCATCTTCGTCGGTCTTAAGTAGGATTCAGAAGCCGGCTAATACATCTCCAACTCCGCAACCATGGGCAATTGGAAGACAGGTATTTAATTTCTCATTTTTCAATATAGATTCGAAAAGTTACAAATGTTTAAATCTATATTTTCCAATAGCAACCTGTAACGGAAGGCTACCAATACAGTCAATTAAGTCCATCGAGATCACCGAGCGGACCGACGTATACTCAGCTTAGTAGCGGTGCTAGAACACCAGCTACACAGCAATATCATGCAGTCACAACAGTGCCTAATAATCCTGGTTAGTCCAACATACCTTAATCTTCTTCTCTAAATATGCGAAATTGCTAATAATCAAATGTGCATTTATCATTAGGTATGTGGGGTTGGCAGAGTCAACAGCATCAAACGCAGCAACCGGACGGACAAACCGGCGCTCAGGTGTCCGCGCAAGCGCAACCACCGCATCCTGGACAGGCTGGGCCCGGCACACAACCACAAGAGCTGTCTGACATGCTGCAAATGCTGCAAGATCAAGGTGGCTCGTCTGGCTTCGAGGAATTGAATATGTTCAACACTAACTTCGAGTAGCAACGAGAAAGGCGATACGCCTCTGAGAAGCAGCTTCTACTTTAGAGGAATTATCTCTCTTCAGGGCTTTCTCCGGCTGTTCGATATTACTTCGAGGATTTTGATCTTGAGCGTCACAATCCGCACCTTCACACCAGCATCCGGAGGATCGTTCATGGAGAAAGAAGAAACGCGATTTAACAATTTAGCACCGCATATATAGACTCTGCAAAAACGATCGCACTGGGATTAGGACAGCCTAGTCTACTGAATTATTTACATATTATACATCGTATTATAACGAGAGATTTTTTATTCATTGTCATGGGTATAAGATGCTACTGTTATGCGTTTCGATTGTTTGAAATTATCTAAACGAGCATGGTTTCATTGGGAACATCATTAAAACATCAAGAGCAACTGTACCTTCATGACGGTTATTAATTAGTGCTCGAAAAGCGATGAATATAATACGCACAGATGGGCTATCCACATTTGGCATAAGCTATTAAAAAAAATAAAGTTTTACATTTATAAATTTTACATTTGAAACTAAATGCGTAATCAATGAAGATACTAATAACTGAGAAACGCTTTCAATGCTTTCAGTGATTTAGATGATTGTACTTTAATAAATCTGAAATTAAATTGAAATTAATTCTTTAATAATTAATATTATGAAATCTACTCATAGCGGTGAAAGTTGTGTATAAAGTTGATTGATTAGTTGAGTGAATGGCCTATAGATAAATATTCACGGCCTTGTTACAAGTATTCTAAATATATGTAAGCATCTGTGCTTATTATACGAATGAAGTAACGTAATTTTAATTTTCATAACAATTTTAACCTGTATCATGCGATTCGATAAATATTTAACGAAGAAAAAGAAAAATGAAAATAACAAGTGTACTCTAAACAATAAGAAAAAATATTTTTAAAAAACTTCTCAATCAAAAATCTATACACAAATCACGGTAATTTTAATACCAGCTTATCATTAGATTTATAAGATTAGCTTAATTATTTTAATTTAGATCTTTGTAATTATAAACAGTGCAATCATAAATCAACACGCGATAAGAAATCGTTCGAGACATTGACAATGTACAAAAATTGTGTAATCCACCTTTGCTTCTCTGTGCAAGACACGTTTTTAGATATTCTTGAAGAAAAAAATATAGATAATGTTACACATACGAATAATTGCATTTATAAGTAACCACGTGTGACTTAGCGCGTTTGTACATGTTTTAGCAAATTTTGACGAGCACATTGAAACGAAATTGCAGCATATCATGATGAATTGGGAACATTTTTCACTAATATATGAACTATACATATACGCATGATTTTTTTAATCATCCTACATCGTGACGAGAATAGTACCATCACTTTTTGACAATAACTAATATATTGAGCCTGATACAGGCATCAATATTTATATGCGAATGTTAAGTATGAATTCGTCTCTATCAAAGAAAAAAATTATTTCACAAATCCCTTATCCATTGTTATATATTCCTTTGCACAATATCCACTCATATATTATAATTCCACAAGAAATCGCGATTATTATGATTTAAAGAGCGAAGGGTGTTAGAAATGCATACGTATATCATGCAATAAAGCTATAAAAAATATTTTTAGTGTATATATATATATATATATATCTTACATTACGCAGAGTGTAAAGAATTTACGTTACAGTAAGTTCTTTAATAATTCTTGCTAGTTCCTTTGTTATTAATTATATTCATGATAATACAAAAAAGGCAATAAGATATAATAAACAAACAGCATGAAATCTTCAAAAGGAATGATGAAAAATATAACACAATTTTTTTATTTAAATTTCTCATTTAAATTTAAAATACAAAATTTACAATTTTAATCTTACAGTCTAAGTAGCGTTAATTTTTCTTCTTGGACAAATTGTCTTTTTTAATTTTACTTTTAACTTGATTTTGTAACTGCGTGAAAAATGCAGTCGAGGACTTCGCAACTTTATGCGCTGTTTCATTTAATTTTGTAACGTTTCTATCTTTTGTTATTTTCTTAACTAACGCAGCCTTTTCTTTCTTATCTTTGTACTTTTTAGCAATTCCTGGTTGCAGTGCTCTTAATTTATCCTTCTTTTCTATTGCCTGCTGTTTGGCCCGTTGCCTCGATTTCTTTCGTCTTCTCTCGCGTTTCATATCCGTTTTCGTTCGTTCTGATTTACCGATAAGATCGCCACGTTCTTTAGCTGGAAATAAGAATTAGTTTTATTTTATTTTATTTAAAATAAAAAATTCATAAACTAACACAATAATCTTATTAAATATACGATAAATACTTTTAATTTCTTCAGGCGCTAATAGAGTTGCATCAGTGGCTGTGACAGGTGCTACCTCTTCCATATTAATTGCAGGTACATTGCTAATGATTTTAATCTCTGGTTTAGCCTAAAACAAAAATCGTATATATTATATATATATATATAATATGTTATTGTATCTTCAAATATATTTAGTGTGAAACGCGCTACCTCGTCTTTCGATGAAAGTTGGAAACTATTAAGAGTATCTCAAAATATAAATATTTTATAACGAGAATAGAAAATTATTTATACAAATTACAAGAATAGTTTCTATTTACAAAGAAACATTTATCTTAGAATATGTATGTTTTTATTATTATTTATATATTATTAATTATATTACTATATTCATAGGAGCTCTGATTTTTAATGTAAATTATAACAAATCTTACCATCTTGGGAGTATAATGATAATTGGATAACGCATCCAATTTTGATATCAAAGAACGCATCATTTGTCGAATTTCATTATGCAACTGCGGTGCTTCCTCTTTTTTCTCATCATTTTCTGGATCTAACGTTTGCTTTTGTCTCAGATACTCCTTTTCGTAAATTTGCGACAAACTTTCCTTGCTTTTTTCTTGATTTAATATCAATTTTTTCTTATATTCTAACGGTGTCTCGACTGGCTTGAATTTTTTCTCGACATCATCCCAAACTTTATCCTTAATCCGCTGCTTGATTATGTCTTCCAGTTTCAAAGTGGTCTCTTCTGTTATCACAGGTGCTGGTCTTCTGTTCACATCAACAACTAGAAATTCCTCCAGCAAGGAATTCTGTGGTCGATTTGAACCACTTACTTCACCTTTCAATTGCCATGGTTTCTCACTAACCGCTTCATCTTCTAATTCTTTGATCCTCATTGACAACCTTTCTTGACGAGCTTCCAAAGTAGATTTCAACTCTATATCTTCTTCCATATTTTCTTCTTTGTCTTTCTTATTAAGATTCATCTTATTTTCTAAGCTATCTGTCTCATCTGAGTCATTTGTAAGATTGAATCTTACTTTTTTAACTGTTTGATCTTCTTCATCTTCTTCGTCAAGATCCATTTCCTCCTCTTCTGATCCTTCCTCTTCAGAATCCTTAATACTATCATTGTAATCTGATTTTTGGCTTTTGTTAACTTGCTCATTTTCACTTTCAGGACTATCAAAGAAATCAGCATATTTTATGTATTTCTCAATGTTATCCCCATCTTCTTCTTCGGAAACTTCATTAAATAAATCCAATGATTCATCATCAGATCCAGTATTATCTTTTCCTTGTTTCTCTTTTCTCTCTTCTTTAGTTAAATATTCATTTAGTTCTTGTAACTTGAAAAATTTGTCGTCTACAACGGAGGATTTTTTCTTATATTTTCTCTTTGAATTATTTTTAATTTCTACATCTTCATCCTCTGATTCTTTCTCATCAGGTATGCCTTCAGCCTCTTGAGCTAAATTATCATTTTCAATCTGTATAGGTTCAGGTTTTCTGGAGCTTACCGGGATCGTCAACTTTTTACCTTCAGATAAAACTGAAATGTCGCTAAAAATATGTGCTATCTCGCTCTCATTCTGCAGTTCCAATTGCTGCCAAATTTGCTCCTCATCAAAGCCTTCTATAACTAATTCTGGTAACGCATTCGTATTTGTATAAGACTTTTCTCTTTCACAGGATTGCTTCTTGGCAAAATCATAGATATTTTTTGTAAGGGCTGCTACATTGATTTTAGTTTTCCTACTAAAAATAAAAAAAGATTTTATTTTCAAAATTGACTTTTGCAGAATTTTTTACGTTTAATGCAAAAATATTTTATATTCTTATTTTATACTTGATTACAAATTTACGTTAGATAATATTATTACACTCACTTTAACTTATTATATTATATTAACATTATAGTAATTATATAGTTTAGCACAATCACCTCAAAAATCAATAAAATTAGACTGTTCGATGCGTTTTTGCATGAAATGAAAGAATCTGGTAAAAAAAGCATGCCAGCTTTGCCAGATTCTTTCATTTCATACAAAAACGCATCGAATGAACCTAATTTTATTGATTTTTGAAGTGATTGTGCAAAACTGTATAATTATCAACATTATATTACTTAACATCAATACTTTAACATTATATTTCATTATCACTTCTCTTTTCTTTTACAGTGATAATTACTACTGATAATAGAAATTATTTTCTTACTTTCGAAATATCTTAGGTTATCATCAAGATTTCATAATACTTAACTTACCTCTTTATTTGTTCTAGCGATCGAATATCATCAAGTGTAGATATAATATTACTGAGAAAGACGACAGCCATTTTATATTACTTTAACAATAAACTTGTTTTAATGATATTTTATAAACGATAAAGTCAAGCACGTACACCGCACATGTTCAATGGGTTATGTTGATTTATGTGTGACTATGTGCGTGAGCACATGTCATTCTAGTTAGAATCCTATTTATAAGAGAAGTGCGACTGATTTTGTCAACATCGTAAAAGTACTAAAAAGTACTAGAAACCGATCTCTAAATGGCTCCTGCCAGAGAGAAACCCAGAAGAAAGAACATGACGACTCAAAATCTATAATTGCAAAATGCTGCCGCGCACTACCGCCCTCAGAAGAAGTGGATATTAACTACACAATAATTCTCTCTCAAGTTTCTCTCTGCCGTCGATATAATTTAAGTTCATTTTCTAATGCCGCATATATTATACAAAAAACTTATACTCGTATATAGTCAGGCCTTACATTTAAGGTTTCCTTAAATACAAGGTCTAACTAAGAATATATAATGTCGTTTTTATTTCATACACAAGTGAGCGTAATGATTATTATCATAATATATTTAATATCTAACATAAAACTCAGTGGAATAGTATTGATATATTAATATATTGATTTAAAATTTTATTATAGAACTTTAAGTAATAAATATATTTCTATACTTGCGCGGTGTTTAAATGATTCACAATTTATAATTGCTTATTATTTTATAAGTTCGATTTTTCTTTCATATACTTTTTTCAATAGCCTTCATTTATTCTAATTGGTTTTTAATTTTTAGAAAAAATATAATTTCTAGTGCGTATTCAAAACACTCATTTATATTTGAAATTTTACAGTATACGTAATGTGAACTATGTACTAAATACATGCTAACATCGTAAAAGCGCTTGCCATGGGTACAGCCTTCTCTATCCTTACAAGATGCACGGACCCAAATTCTGAAAATGACTAAAATTTTTTGCGCGTAGCGTTTATATACCAAATTCGGAAGCTAGCGCGAACCAATAAGCATCCGCAGCGAGGCATCGCGTCTATTGGCTGGCATGCGAGTGGTGGGGTTCGCCGTTTGACGACTCATATAAATAGCGGGTAATTCGCGATTTCACGCTTTTCCGATTCGGGCAGGGGGCAGGGGTACGTCCTGTCATTTTAACGTTGAAAAAGTTCGCACTATTCGCAGCCCTGTCCTCGAATCAAGTGACTTTTCTCCACATTCTAATCTTTGCTAAATATAAAACGACGTTGGAAAAGTTCGCAGCCTTGTCTTCGAATCGATTGTGACTTTTTCTCCATATTCTAATCTGCTGAATATAAACGACGAGAAACGGCATGAAAGGATCGTTCATCGTTGGATTTCTTTACTAAGGTAATCAATAATTAATTTTGCCTTTACATCTTGTAACAGTGTAAATATCGCGTATTGCAGAGTCTAGCACACTGATTATTCGATCGAAAGTATGTGCCGTGTCGTCGCGTCTCCCGTCTCGCGTCACTTTTTACGCGTGAAGTTAACCGCACGTGGAAAACGACGTCGCTTCCCCATTTCGATCGCATTCACATTTCATTCGCGAAATGCGGCGGATAGAGGATGACACGGCGAAACGGACTGGCTCTCAGACAAGTGAAAATGCGTGATCAAATATGGTAATTAAAACCTATATAATACCTGAATGTATAACTTGAATATATATTTTCATACGCGATATTTACCGCGTGACTATAGATTCAGTAATCGCATATTAATCCGTTTGAACGCGTATTTCGTAAAACTTGTTCGCCGAAAGTATATCTTAAATAATTGACAATGAGATCTTTGAATATTAATCTGCAATACGGGAATAATAATTATAAAAGAAGAGCGTATATTACAATATACGCTCTTGCCTTTTATGATTGTTATTTCCACATTTCGAGCATCAGATATATTTCGAAATACAGAAAATTCATGAACGCGATGCCGAGAGCGAGAAGTGCAGCGTCACAACGTCGCCTTTGGCACGCGAAGTTAACCACGCAAAAACGAAACTGTCTCGTCTACTTAATCTTAATTACAACTACGATTCATTTCGACACATTTCGATCTGTAAATGAAGCGCAAATATAATTAAGAGACGAGATTGGCATCGATCAAATGATAATTGAAACTTATATTAAAGTCGTAAACTATATTTGTTGTTTATTGCAACATTTAGTTCGCGCAATCATAGATTCAATTTATATATATTACATATTTACTAAGAAAAAGACGCGCATTGCCACCGTGTCGCTCTTGATATGTGAAATTAATAACTCGAGAGACGAAATCACTTCGACATATTAATTGCATTTATGTTTTATTTGCAGAATGTGACGAATACGAGATGGCTCCAAATGAATGCTGTTGCGACTTATTGAATTGGTAAATAAAATTTATATTAATTTTATATCTAATTATTAAAGTATCTAATAATTTTTTTGTAATATAGTTTCGGCACTAGTATAATTCGTTCGAGCACGTATTTCACAATACTCGTGCATGCGAATAGCATGTCGCGTATAAAATCAACTGTGCAGAAATCTTTTGCTATCTTAGATTCATTTCAATGTCTAAATTTTGTTTGTAAAGTATCGTGAGTATCGAATATGACAAATTTCCTGCATTCTTATTTTTCTGCTATAGTGAACTACTGCATCACGTCTAATTAATATCGACTATACGAACAAAATATGACATGGTTGCTTTCACGCTCACACGATGTAAACATTAGTTCATCCTTGTTTATCAAATATTAAATAAGGATAAATGATATTTGCGCTCACTGTAAGCGCAAAACAGGACGCACCCTTAGCAATTATTTGTAACTGCATTTAATTTTAATAAACTATTTGTTTTAGCTGATAGATGCTGTCACAAACCAAACAATGGGAAGAGAAGAGAGGTGAAAAGCAGACTTGACAATTCTGTGAGGAGGAGGAGGCTCAGACAAAGCATGGATCAACTTTGCGGTAAGCAAGCTTATTGCTTACTTGCATAAAAAATTAGTCATTTCTTCCCATTAGATTGTTTTATTTCAATAATTAAAAATAATAATTTAAAAAAAAGAATTAATCTAAAACACGGAAATTTATTCTCACAAAAACAATTTTGAGAAAATGTATAATTATTTTAATGGATACGTAATTGAAAAACTATTGAAAAATCAATGTGTATAAAAATCAGTTTTTTAATTATTAATTATTTTGAACGCTATTTTAACTTGCATCTTGTATTTATATGTTACAGAATCATGTAACCACATAGCTGATAACTGCTGCGCATCAATCAGTCTTCCTTCTTCTTTTATTGGTACGTGTAGCTACTTCGGCTGCGATCAAGCCATTAGTCAGTTGGTGCAGTAAAATATAATGGAGACTTTGCACGGCTCTGTACTGAGAGATCGGAGCATCGGTCGGTGAGTGACAAAGATTTTATCAGGTAACGAATCTGTATAAAATGTAAAATGTGTAAAATTATATTAGAAATGAATATAACGCTTTATAGACCTATTACTTAAAAATGAATTACCTACAAACGATTATGATACATATTTAATCTTGGATTTGTTTATCATTATTTGTTAACTTGATCAGCATTTTGATCTGCTATTATGCTTGAAGCTATTATGTTTATATCTGGAAAAAATGTTTTATATACAATTATATAAAATTATTTTCAATATTACAATTATATATATTACTTAATTTTTCCCCGGGTATTCACACAAGTACACATATAAAAAAAGAGAATGAAATAGAATTCAATGATGAGAGTTAGTATTATAAATTATATAATATTAATAAATCAAGTAAGAACATAAATTTGTTTAATTTTATTGAATTATTATTTGATTCACACATATTAGAAATAATTAATTTTTTAATTCAGAAGAATATCTAACAAAAATTCCTTTCTTTACTAATAATAAATTAGCAAAATATTTATATACAAAATTGCATTTTAATACAAATAAACTTGAAGAATATAAAAAAAATTATTAAAATAATTGGTTTTTAAATTAAGATAGATGAAATAAATAATGAAGGAGTAAAGAAAAAATAAAGTTTCGTATAAACAAAATATATATTTTAAAATACAAAGATTTTTACAGATTTGTTATTTTTAAATTAACATAGGATATTCACATATTCAATATATGTGACATAAAAATAAAGAATATTTTTATACAGCAAAACCTATTAAACAAGTTATGCATTTATTTTCCTTAATCCCATTCTTAAATATTCATCCAAGATTAAATATGCTATAAATTGGTGCAAAGAAAAAAATATGTACATTTAAAAAAAATATTTCAATGCATATAAATGAAAAAATTGTCCTTTGTAAGAAAAAAATACAATAATGTTATTACAATGACTGATCGCCTGATTTATCTTATCTTATATAAGTATATAAAATGCAATACTACATATGACTATAAATAATTAATTCTTGAACACACACAGCATCAATTTTAACATAATAGTTTGTAACTTATTCATTTGATTGATTGATAACATAAATTTACAATAAGAAAAACAAAATAACTGACATAAAATTCCATAAGTTACAACACAAGAACTTTTCAAATTATATTAACGTTTCCATTAAAATTTGTTTATAAATAAGGCACTTTCATATTAGAATAACTTTCATACTAGATATAATAATAATATAAATGCAACTGATAAAGAGCTTATAAGTCACAATGCAAGGTTTTTTGGCGCAGTAGTTACATTTAAATGTACGTATATAAACAATAAATTATAGATGTTTCGACCGAAACTAAACTATTTACAGTATTAAAACGATAAAAGAACAAGTGTATAATTTAAAGTAATGATGGAGTGTCAATATAATGAAACTATTATTAGCGCGATAAGTACAAAGATTTCCACAGATTTATCCATGAAACATCTTAAAACAAATAGAATTATCTAGATGATGCTATAAATAATCATAATGTACTCTATGATGATTCAATTTTCTTGCCATTCCTTTTTCATTGTATCTTTGCAATCATTTCTATTTCATATAAACATTGTGCAAACACAAGAGTCCCAGGTATAATTTTAGATTGTTATAAAACTAATATAAACCGCAAAATTATGAATTACATAGTAAAGAAATTTTTTAAACAAAATAATAACTATGTTAGAAATAACGATTGCTTCATAATTATATCGAGTTTAAACACATTTTTCAAAAATCAGTATAAAAAACAGTAATTTATTTTAATAATATGTATAAAGTGTCTGTGAAAGTGATCGGTGTCGTGGTAAGAGAGATTTGTTTTACATAAATATAAATGTAACTGTTATACTGTTAAATATTATATAGAAATACTTCGATTGCGAGCTCACAACAATGTGTGCATCACATAAAGATGAAAAATATAAAAAAACAAATAGGTATTAATTATCATAAAAATTTATTAAATTTATTAAATTTAGTTTAAAATCAATATGTTTTAATGTCACATTTAATATGCATTCAATATGAAATTGAAAAACGATAATACACATTATACAAATTAACGATATACAAATTAACCGAAAATAAATATAAAAATTATAAAAAGCAATTCTAATGCACGCATCGTAAAACATCAATCCACGTAATTTTTCAAGAATTATTCTCTTCTCTTTTCTCAATACACGTTTCTTTATTTACCTCCCTTCTATAATAGCTTCTCCGTCTCGACCCACTCAATATCTTATTCATTATGTAAATTTTTTTTTAATTTTTTGTGTGTGATTTAACATTTCTGTTGCAGCTTCCTCATGGTTCATGCAATAAAGTTAATTGCATTAAATAACTTTTTATTTTATTGAATAAATGCGTTTCTCCAGAAACATTTCCGGGTTTTACTCGAAATTTGTGTAAATTTAGGATACGGTCCGGGTAGTAAGATCGTTGCATACGTGCCCAATTCTCGCTGCATTTACCGGTCTGTCGAGCTTGTCTCGTACGACTAGCGTCTAACAAGCCGATAAGCCGAATTAATCACAATTAATGCACGAGGGATGTGGGCAATACCGCCCCAGAAAGTGGGATTGCCTCACGTCGCGTCTATCAGCCAAGCGTTTGCACACTTGTTGTGACACAGACTACTGTGGTTCGCAAAGTATTGTGGTTATGAAGGCCTCGTCGACGTTAGACGCGCGTTAAACGTGACACGAGAAGCCAGCCGTATTCGCAATGA